CCTTTGTCATTATACAAATTTATGTCCTCATTTGTCACAAAAACGCACACACACACACACACACACACACACGAGACAGAGGAAGAGCTCTCTGTTTAAATTGGGTGAATGTCTCGAAACCTGTCCATGTCATACTTCACCCCAAAATCAAAAGAAAAAGGGAATTCATAAAAGGAATTATATTGTGCATGATAAACAAGAAACCTGTTTTATTTTGTGATATTATAATTAAGCACATTTCCCCTCCAGTTCTCATTACTGTAATGCATCCTGATATTTTAATTTGTAGTTTTGCTGTAAGTCTCAGTTCTTAGTTATTCTCAACAGTTATCCTTATTAAATTCTCGTTATTGCTTACAAATTAGATTTTGTATTGTTATTTGATTCATTTATTTATTTACCGTGCTGCTTTTAATTAATTAAAGGTAGGATAGCAAGTACTACCAAAAAGTATAAATACAAGTTTTGCATTTTCGCAGGTTTTCATATATAAATATTAAAAATAATATGGTCATGAATGTCACGATCGCTACTGTGAGGAGCACGGAGTGAGGAACGAGGAGATGAGGAGTAAACTTCAAACGAACAGACTTTAATAAACATCCAAGGAACCAGGAACACACACATAGCGGGGAAAGACGAACATTCAATACCAGACGACGAAACTCAGAACAGGACTCACTATAAATACACATGACTTATAAAATACACATGACTTGACGAGGGGATGACGAGACACACCTGGAACTAATGAACAATCAAACACATGGGAAAAATAGGTCAGGGCAGGCACATGGAGAGGGAAAAACACACAGATACAGTCCAGGGGCAGGGCTCTACGCTTATTTTCAAAAGAAAAAGGGAATTCATAAAAGGAATTATATTGTGCATGATAAACAAGAAACCTGTTTTATTTTGTGATATTATAATTAAGCACATTTCCCCTCCAGTTCTCATTACTGTAATGCATCCTGATATTTTAATTTGTAGTTTTGCTGTAAGTCTCAGTTCTTAGTTATTCTCAACAGTTATTCTTATTAAATTCTCGTTATTGCTTACAAATTAGATTTTGTATTGTTATTTGATTCATTTATTTATTTACCGTGCTGCTTTTAATTAATTAAAGGTAGGATAGCAAGTACTACCAAAAAGTATAAATACAAGTTTTGCATTTTCGCAGGTTTTCATATATAAATATTAAAAATAATATGGTCATGAATGTCACGATCGCTACTGTGAGGAGCACGGAGTGAGGAACGAGGAGATGAGGAGTAAACTTCAAACGAACAGACTTTAATAATCATCCAAGGAACCAGGAACACACACGTAGCGGGGAAAGACGAACATTCAATACCAGACGACGAAACTCAGAACAGGACTCACTATAAATACACATGACTTATAAAATACACATGACTTGACGAGGGGATGACGAGACACACCTGGAACTAATGAACAATCAAACACATGGGAAAACTAGGTCAGGGCAGGCACATGG